ACCTCAACAACCGTACCAGCTCCCACCTCAACCACCATAGCCAGAAAATTTCAATTTTCTTAATGATCTCGCCCTTTCCTGTTGATTAAGGTTAGTTAATAATTTTGAATCTTTTTTTATTTTGACTTGGTGTGATGGGCCTGTTTACAGGTTTTATTTTTCACTTTTGTTTGGGCTTGTGTGCTCTTGTAATTGGGTTGTCTCTCTTTGCCAACTGCCACTAGGCCTCTCCTTGTTGGGCCTTGAGGTATGCCCCAAATTTATATGTTAAAAAAAAAAAAAAAAAAAAAAAAAAAAAAAAAAAAAAACCTTGTAAATTTTTCATCTTATTCAAATGCATGCAAGAAAATTTATTTTCTTCTCATTCCTTTTGTTACTCTCACTTTTCAATGTTTTTCTTTCTAAACAAACGGACCGCTAGCTACAAGATTGGTTTCAGTAAGGGCATCTCAACTAAACTTCGCAAAATTTGCTAATGAATGCATATATACGTAATGAAATATACCAACTAGGAAAGGGATGACAATTTGATACAAATTATTCATATAAACTTATTGCATCTCACTTTGAACAATTCCTCACACAAATGTTTAGGTAAACCATCTCTAAGAAATATAGCAACTATGTAAGAAAACGCTGACAATTTGATACAATATTTTCATATAAATTTATTGCATTTCACTTTGAACAATTCCTCACACAAATGTTTAGGTAAGAAAACGCTGACAATTTGATACAATATTTTCATATAAATTTATTGCATTTCACTTTGAACAATTCCTCACATAAATGTTTAGGTAAATTAACCATATCTTCCATCCGCTTCCCATTGGAAGATATGGAGGGAAGACTCTTTAGTTCACAAACCAATGTTTCTTGAATTTTTGTTTTTAAAAAAAATCAATCAGTTTTATTGGTTACAAAAAAGAATAATAAAAAATATATATAGACAGACTGTGTCAGCAGCTCCAACCATTTTTAGTTCACCATCTTGCAGTTCAGCCTAATCTGACCTTTCTTCCCAGTTAATGGCTTTATGTTACCCATTTTGATCATAGAGTTTGCAAAGTCTGTCGAGAAAGCACCAGCATTTGTGACATAGCTCTTCACCAGTCCATCAGTTTCACCACCATTAAACAGTGCCTGATCAGAATGTAGAAGCCCCTTCTTCTTCACCAAGTTGGAAAAGTACTTGGTGTCGAAGAGCGCAGCTGTGGGGTCAAGAGTAGCAAGGTTGGAGTCACCGGATGGGCTGCTGCGTGGACACGTGGACCGACGCTGGCGAGCAAATGAAGTGTCAATGTTGGTGTCATTGTAAATGCGGTCCCTGAAGTTCCTGCACTGAGCAAACCCTAAGGTGTGACCACCGGAGAGCGCGACTAGGTCTTTGACATCAAGGCCTTGCTTCTTGAAGTTGTTAATAAGTGCAGGAAGGTCCATGGATGGTGCTGGAATGTCATTGTTGGCTGCAGTCCTGCTTGCAGTGGTTGAGTCTCTCCTCCCTAGTTGCACCTTCCATGCTGGTCCTCCTAGCTGTGGTACAGATTCAACCATATGTGTTACACATTTTAGCACATAATATCACAGCAAAAATGTTCAACTAATTAATAATACTAAGAAAATATTATTTTGATAATTAAACGCACCAAGACGACAGAGTCACGAGCTGCAACCGCCAAAATGTCAGCACAAGAAACCACTGGACCTCCACAAACTTTGTCAACCTCCAATTTGATCTTGTCAATGACTTCAAATCCCCTAGCAGAATTTGCATTAGGGAACGCATTCTTTTCGCTATCAATGGTGGATGTCGGGTCCAGAAGAATTGAAGCATCACAGCCCTGCATTACCATGATCAAATCTATTAATTGGACCAATATTACATTCAACTAATGATAGTTCATGACGAATATTTCTTCACAAGTAAAAGAGAAATTTTTAAGAAGGAAAAAATTGAGCAAGCATACATTAACAAAACAATCATGGAAGTGCAGACGTAGTAAAGAAGCGCCCATACGTCGCTCTTTCTGCACTGCATCCTCCACAACTTGCTTGATGGTTGGCAAAGCTTTGGGGCAGACTTTGTTATAGTAATAAGGAGAGAGTGGGGTTGAGAGGGCTGTGCTTGCAAGAGCAAACAAGACTAGGGCATGGAGATAGAGGAAGCTATGTGAAGCCATTTTTAATGAGTTTTGATTAAATTGGATATATAGCTAGTAGTGGTCTGTGCTACTTTGTCTTGTCCATTCAACTAAGGTGGCAAGTGTATTTATAGGGGAAAAAAAAATCAGACTTGGGCAACATATATATCTGTAGGACTTTAGGCCTTAGACTTAGCCAACAATACAATTTCTAAGAAGCTTGCTATTATCAACTCAAAAGGGCAAGTTGATGTGTGCAAGAAAAGAGACTAAAAATTTTTAAACTTGTTTGATCAAGTCTTGCAAAGATGCAGGCCTAAGTTCCTAACTCAATTTGAATAATTACCATAGTAATTAAGCCAATATTGTTTTGACTTCTAATTTAATTTAAGTGACTTAAGTGAATCAGATATTGTATGGCACCAAAACACATTGAGCCAAGACATGTTCAGACACGTCTTCTAATTAAGCCAATCTCATTTTGCCTTCTAATTAATTTGAAGTGACTTAACTGAATCAGATCTTGTATGGCACTAATGCACATTGAGCCAAGACATGTTCAGATCGAAATGTTGGCTGATATTCCAATTAAATTATGGATCGGCTGGTTCATACAATTTTTTAAGCTCAATAATATCATTAATTTTCTAGGGATTATTGCTCAATATTGTGGGAAAAACTTGAGTTGGCAACTGTAAGGACGCGGTTTTCTGCAAGACTGCTAGTGCTATTTCAAATACATAGAGATCCAGGAAGGAAAATGTTAAATTGTACCACCAAATTGTAGGACACTTTCAAGTCATTAAGCAAGATCAGAGGGAGAATTTGTCCAAAGAATTTTAATTTACCCATTAATTCCCTGTGTGTTATGTTCAATGAATTCTCTAACAAGGAACATTTTTCTGGATAGATTTTGAATTAAGTACCAACTACCAACAACTCTCAACCTCTAAACAATCTGAAGGTTTAAAATATCAGTTTCATATAATAAAAGATTTATTTGGGCCTAATGTCAGCTATAATAACATGTGGATATATTATATATATAATGCTACAGCTAATCACATGTAGTGATTACAGGAAAAGTCAGATTGTACCGACGCGCATATATATACACACACACACACACACACACACATATATAGATATTCTTAATTCTCTGAGAATGAAGTCTCTCGAAGCTAGTAAAGCAATTTTGTACTCTGGATAAAACAGACATAATGTATATCTCTGACATTGAGCCCCAAAAAAAAAAAAAAATTTGAAATCATTTGGTTAAGGATAATATTTTGGGCTGTCAATGAGTTTGTTTCCTAGGCCAAAAAATTGAAATCATTTTGCCAAGGATAATATTTTGCAACATTCACCGATTTCATATTAAAAAATATCAAATAAAATTTTATAAATTTAAGTTTTGGCATGACACAGAGAAAATCAGCTTGGTTAGTTTTTAAGAACGCAAGTTCATTTCCAGAATTTTTATATATGCTGCTAAAAAGAATATAAATTGAAATTGATTTTGCACAAACTAATTAATTTAATCAAGGATTTTGTTGTTCCTTCTAATATAATGATCATGACTAGTCAAAAACTGAATTTGGATTGCCAATAACATTGCCGGAATTGATTGCCAGTGGAAAGTACTAACTACTAAGGAATTAACCATTCTAAGCATTCATAAATGAGGTGTACATATATAAATTAATCCCCAAAGAAAATGATAATTTGAAAAGTCTGTATCTGCTCTGGATGTTGATTGGCATGCCGGAAAAATAAAATTAAGAAAAAGAAAAAAAGATAAAGCAATGCGTGTTTTGACTTCCAAATTACAACCATCAAATTTCTTATGGGGAGAGAAAATATTGAAAAGGAAAGCAATGAGCTTCAAGTAACACGGTTTCAACTTATATACACAAACACGCGCAATATAATTTACTATATATTTGCGAGTAATACCTTTTCTTTTCTTTTTAAGGCCAACCAGTAATTCATTTGACCAAGTAGTTTCTGACGAAGTTTTCTCTTGATCTTAAACAAATTAATGACACAAGAATTGGGAGATAGACACAATTATTTGTTTATCCAATGCCATGCCTTGACTTCAAATCTTTGATTTGGTTTTAATATATTTTTGCATAACGTATGCATGCCAGGTGGAAACAAATTAATATCATTGGTTAATGATATCAAAAGGCTGTCAATTGGATAATCTATATAAGTTTTTTTCACCTACAAATTTTCAAATCAGAGACAATATTTTTTTTAATACTCGATCACACTCATATTGACGCGGTCAGGCTTCTGCTTGACTTTAATACACTCGTCCCTTTTTTCATTTTGTTGGATTGTGTTGAGCAGGTGATCCATGTTTGGAGTGAATTAACAAATACTAGGGTCACACGTCCATCCAAAACCGAGCAAAATAATATTCGGTCAGGGTTTATTCATTTTGCAACATATCTGTAGGACTTTAGCCCTATGGTTTTTGACAACCATATAAATTTTAGCTGGAGCTTGATTTGGGTGCAGCATGTGTTCACCAACCAGCTCGATCAGCATAACTCAACAGGGGCGATAAAAAAAAAATATAACTTGAGATTTTTGTGAGGGAGCTCTTTTATGCAGAGTACCATAAGTTTTGAGCTCTGAGATTAGACTAGCTAGTAGCCACTTTCTGCAAATAAATAATGTAAAAGATTACGTTTTATTTGAGTCACTGTTTGGTACAATGGTATAATTTCGGACTTAATTAAAAAAGTAGTGGTTGAATTTTGATGTTAGATTTTGAAAGCAGACACTACTTTGGATTCAATCTAGATGATATGTACTTAGTACAAGAATTGTAGGGTTGTGCAGAACTGTAGATCATAAATATACCATTAATTTTATTCAGTTATCTGTGGTTTATATTGAAAAGAGACTACAAAATCAAATTTGGTACGTAAAAAACATCCAAAACAATGAGGACTATAGGGGAATACTGTAATGAAAATTAAGGTAGGCCTAGTTGGTTTTGCTGCAATTAGTTCTGATCTGGCCATTGGTGCCGGTGAGTGGACTAAGGTTCCCCATCTTGACCATAGCATTGGCGAAGTCTGTAAAGAAAGTTGCAGAATTGGAAGCGTAAGTGTTCACTTGAGCATCGGTGGATCCCCCACTGAAGAGCTGTTGGTCGGAGTGCAAAAGTCCCCTTTGTGTCTGCAAATTCTTGAAGTAAGCATTGTCAAAAGTTGTGGGGCTTGTGACATCGAGGGGAGATAGATTGTTGTCACCTCCGGTGCTGGGACAATTTGCTTTCGTTGATGTGGCGAATGAAGAATTTATGTTGGCTTCATTGTAGAGCCGGTTTCGGAAGAGTGTGCACCTAGCTTGGCCTATTGTGTGAGATCCTGCACAAGAAGATTTTAACAAAAAAAAACAAAATGAATCAGTTTAGTCTTTTTATCTTCTAGTGTCACATTTATTTCAAATGTGATGAAGTTAATCAGTACTAACTACCTAGAATTAAACAATAGGAGATAAAACAATTTAATTAAAAAAAAAAAAAAAAAAAAAAAAAAAAGAAGAAGAAATAAAGAAATAAAGTCTGAAAACTGAAATGACCTGAGAGAGCCACCATTTCGTTGGCAGTGAAACCTTTGCCTGAGAAGGCAGAGATGAGACCACTAAGACTCAAAGTTGGTGCAGGGATGTTGGAGTTTGCAGCACTCGCACTTGCCGTGGTCGAGTCCCTTCTGCCCAACAACACATTCCAACTAGGTCCATTCAGCTGAAAATCCATTTATATGATGAGTATTATTAAAAGACACACTAGTAAAAAAAAAGGGTCCAAATAAGTAGTTTGTTTGCTTACAGCAACAACAGAGTCTCGGGCAGCAACAGCTAAGATGTCTGCGCAAGAGACCACACCGGGGCACAAACTCTCCACTTGAGATTTAGCAGTAGCAATCACATTGAATCCCCTTAGTGAATTCGCGTTAGGACCGGCAGTCTGCTCTAAGCCGGCCAGCAGCACCGAGGCATCACATCCCTGTTGAGTACGTACACAATTAATTAAATCTTCTTCCCATTCTTGATTTCTCTGGAAATTTTTATTATTATCATTATTATTTTAGATTACGTTGGCTAGCATATATATAACATAATTTCATCTTTCGCATATATTGATCTCATTTCTTGTTGCAAATATTGTTGTATTATATAATTAATTTATATGGATGGCCTTGATTTAAATGGGTGACATATTTCAAATATAAAAGTAGTTCCCATGTATGTGCAATGCGAGTCAAACTTGAAGCAATTGAAAACACAGTTGGGATCGATATATAAAACGTTAGTTCGTTCATACTACTATTTGGCATTTTGATCTCTTGTTATACTATTCATGAGTAGCTAATTGGCAGCAATCTAAGATTTTGGAAAGAGCCTCCTCATTGTCTGAGCTTCTTGGCACCTTCCATGAATATATGATGGTGGGGTGTTGTCAAAAGGTTTAGTACCATATATTATTATGATTATATATATATATATTTATATGTAGCCAACTTTAGCAGCATAAGGTCCTATAACGTATTCGAAACGCATGGCTATCAAATGGGATTGTTCTAATTAAATGAAATGATCCATATCCAATCATTTTGCCGTAAACAAGTTAGAAGAAAGCAATCATGTAAACAGCTAGCTAGTATTTGAAACATACATGTACTGTGTGTGTGATGCTCTTAGAAAGTCAACAATGTTGGGTGTATCGTGCAATATGTCATTCTTTGAGATTGAATTTGATTTATTAGACTCAAAACCAATCTAGCTAGCATGCTTTTGTGATATTTATCTTTTTCTTTTTATTTTTCTTTTCCCCATTTATTTGAAACTCGGGAGATATCTTTAACATCTACTATTACTTTTGCAAATGTTACACCAATACCACCATATAGTCCTAGCTAGAGAAAAATGGATAAGCAAATTCAAATTATATATATATATATATAAACTTTTTAGTGTGAATGCTTTCGTACAAGAAGGGATCCGTGATCCTATATAAGGTCATAGTATGTGTACATCTTATAAATAATTGGTGGTGACCTGTGGTTTTAATGTGCAAGCTAAGCTATTACACATTACACATGATAGTTGCTTTAAAATTTCTCTCCATCTATACTTGTTGCAACTAATATTATATAACAAACATGCATAAATTAAAATTATATGGTTTTATAACTTAATATTATATTGAAATCTAAGAAAAAAGAAAAGGAAACAAAAAGAAGTAAAGAAAATGAGGTAAAGTGAGTAAAGACTTGCATTAACAAAGCAATCATGGAAATGAAGACGGAGCAAGGAAGCCCCCATGCGAGCCTCAGCTGACACCGCAGAGGTGACCGCGGATTTGATGGTAGAAAGGGCATTTGGGCAGGAAGTGGCATAAAAATTAGTGGTTAACTGAGCAGAGGCCATTCCAACAAGTAGGAATAAGCTTAAGCAGAGTGTAAAAGCACTTCTGGGTGTTAATGTTGAACTACTACTATAATATGAAGAAGAAGCCATTAAGTAATACTAATATATATGACTTCCAAAGAAGCTAGAAGAAGAAATGATAAGAAGAAGAAGAAGGAGCAGCTGATATATGTATCTGCGGTTGTTGAAGGGTTGAGGTTGTATGAGAATTTGCATGTATTTATACACAGGAGGAGATCTTGATGCTCCGCGTTACATATTTCCCATGGTCTGAAGTCAACTTTACATATTTAAGAGAACACAATTAGATATAATCATACAAATAAATATGAATATTTTTGTGTTAAAATATCATAATTATTCTTTAAACCATTAATGTTTATATATATATATATATATATATAGTTAAATAATGCAAGATACCATAAATAAGTAATATAAAAGATGTTTGATTAAGGAATTCTGTTGAACTCCTCCACCACTTTAATAAAACATTTTCTTTTGTTAAATTCTTATAAGCCTTGACCTGAGGGTTATTGTCGAATAACATACAAACATATAGAAAGTGGTGGAGCATCCATGATGAGAATGTTTATTCCAAAATAGAAATTTCAATTTTAATATTCAAATATTATATCACTTTCATACCTAATTAATTAACGAAATTGATGACTACCATGTAAAAAGTAGAACAATATTCAATGGTGGTTCATTGTAAACATCCCATTTAAACTATTAAATTAGACCTTTTATATATATATTAAATTAGAGTAATGATATTTAGGTTTATTTTTTAAGCTTAATAGTTTCACCTAATTAATTGCTATCATCATTTATTTTAAAATGGATCCTATTAAAAATTTAATATATTGCATCTCAAAGTTTTTAGTGATTATTTACAGGGACAAAAAAAAAAAATCGGTTAAAGCGATTGGCTCGACTATTATTTAAGATCAGAGGATTAATTTTCTTCTAGAAATCAACAAAATCAAATTTATGTTAATGCAATCATTGTGTCGTGAGTTTAGTATTAAATTGTTTTTAATTAATTGGTTCTGCATTGTGGAGCTACTCAAATATCTCTTTTCCTTATGTTTTCTGAAAGATAAATCAACCTTTCCCCTTTCTCCTACACCCACACTTTTGAGACTTTAGCACGACTTGAGGCACGACTTATGCAAATTTCTATAGCATTGTCACTTATAAGTTTAGAAAATTTCTATAAACTTATGCAAATTTACGAGAAAATATTAAAGACTATAAAGCACATTAATTACAATCCAAGAGACATTGCTAATAAGAACTATTAAATTAGAGTAATGATAAATTTTTAAAAAGGTTCAAGCATAAGATAAGTTGCTATTTGTAAAATATATTTGAAAGAGTAGTGCTAATTAGATCAATTCGACCTGACCGACACGTGACGGTCTAACTTGTAAATGGGTTCAGTGTTTATACTTTATCCTTCTCAACACTAGTTTACCCGCTTTATAGGCCACACATGGATACATAACATGGATGCTTAGTGGCTAATACTTCTTGATATATATACATATATATATGCCATGTGTTCTCACTTCTTACCACAGATATTCTCAACATGTTGACAAATCATTCAATGCATGATCGGACGGTGGGTTGTGGCCCTTCTTGGCCGGAATTTGGTGGTGGCTACGACGGCGGGGTTGTTTATATATATATATGGTGGACTCCGGCCTTAATGCTTGGGAAATTATACAAATGTACTTGTGAACGGAGTAGGATTGGAGAATCTTCCATTCGAATTTGTGTGATACCTAAATTCCATTATAAGCCTAATAGGCCACACCCCTCCCAAATTCACCCAACCCCAGCCAATAGATTCCAATTTCAAAAACTCTTGAAGTTGGTGTGCTTCGTTGACTCACCGTCTCTCATATATATATATATATATATATATATATATATATATATAATTGAACCCGCGTAAAGCCGTCTTTCAAATCAGTCGTCTTTGCGGTTGAAATTTAACACATAAATTCAAGTCGTCTTTGCCACTCTTTGCATGAGAGGAAAATATATATATATATATATATATATATATATTATTATACGAAAATGGCATGTAATCAACAAGTTACAAAAATCATTATACAAATTTTTATAAGAAAATTGTTCTTAGAATACTTAACCACCAAGGTTCAAGCTTAACTTTTTTCCTAAACTCTTCTGCAACTAACATGCATATTTTCTCGTAAATTTTTCATCATACGGACTTTTGTGATATGTGTTTTGTTTTTGACGTTCTATTTTAAATCTGAAACAGAATAAGTGTTTTGTTGTAAATTATTTTGATTAATAGTATGAAGCATATTTGATAACATGATAACATCCATTTGTTGTAAGATTTTGAGAGCAAAAACATAAAAATATATTTGGTAAAAAAATATTGCAAGTTTAAAAAATACAATGGTTAGTTTAAAATTGTCATTTAAAATTTTTTATTATTATTCATTATTACAATACCAAACACTACTTTTGCGAAAATATAAAAAAAGTTTCAATTTGTGGCCACTGTTTATGAAGCGTTTCAACACTGTGCAAAACAATATATTTTTTACCAATCGGGCATTCACCGCTACACTACCTAAAAAAAACAAAAAAATATCAAAAACAAAATGCTTACCAAACATGTCCTACTTGTAAGGAAAATATATTTTTCCTTTCATTTTTTTTTTAATTAAATTAAAATTGCATGAAGAGAAAAAATATATGTATATTTCTTTTATTCAATTCATTTTCTTTTACTTTCACATTTTAATATTATTTTTCATTAATTGCATAAAGTCCCCAAGTTATAAATAACTTACATATCACCCCTATACTAAAAATTTTAAGATCACCCACCTTGGAATAATTAAAAGTATAAGGAATTTTTTAAAACCTCAATTAATCATTTTTGAATTAATTGCATAATCCCCTTGAACTATAAGAAATTTGTATGTTACTCCTGTTCAAATTTCTTCTAGTTCGCTTTTTTTTCTTCTTTTTATTTTTATTTTTTATAATAATTTAGGAGGTTAACTTTATTCCATGGGGTACTGTGCAAAGAGAAAAACGAGTATACTACTAATTCTTTGGAAAATAAATGAGAAAAACGCAACTGTCTTTCTAGACATTCAAAACGCACTCTCCTATTTTCAATTTGGTGAGTGTTCTATTCAGACCACGTGAAAGTGGCAGTAACCAAGTGCGAGTTCCACTGGAATTGTAATATTTCCATTGTACATGATATATGGGCCATATTCATATGGCATTTGAAATGACTATATTTTTTATTTTTATCTTTTTTTCTCTTTGCCTGAAAAATAACTCTAATAGACTAGCAATGCAGCCATATCATAAACATTGCTATCGCTGCAATCGCTTGATTGTTTATTTTTTTTACTTGACCTGTTCACATCAAAACTATTACAATAGCACGACACAAGTCATGCATGATATCTAAAATCAAAAGTAACGACAAAGGATTTCATTTTCTCGTAAAAAATTTATAATCACCGAGTATGCATCTTACAAACCTTAATAATGTTCGGCAAGTACAAACAAAATGATGTCGGGTAAGTACAAACAAAACAAAATGAATTTATTTGGCTCAGTTTTTCAAAAATAATTTTCAAATACTTATCATCAAATTACAACCCTTGTTCTTATGCAGGTAACCTAATAAAACACTGCACCAAGTAATGCCCGTATTTAATTCTCCCAATTTATATACACGGAGTACAGAGTTTTTTTTTTTCTTTATCCAAAAATTTATATATAGTGTCATGTTCTCACTTTGTCCCTATCTAATTGTTAAGAATTACTTTTAGTGTGTACTGTGTGATTAGTTGACATTTGGGGCATAGACACAGTAAAGTGGTCTAGATAAACACCGCTGTGTTGTGCATGGCAGGTAGGAAAATATTGAGAGACCCCACACGCTTGTTTTACTAGCAAATTTATATGGATTCCTCCTGTCACTTCGATCACCATTCGTCTCATCATTCAAATTTTGCCTCAAATTTCAAAGTTTCGGATATCTTTGCTAATTATTATTCCTTTAACTTTAATTCAATTGCATTCTAAGCATCAGTACTAGTGCATGTTCACGCATGCACTGTAATCAAATTAGACAAAAAATCATGACCGTAACGATATGCTTTTGACTAATTGATTGTTAATTCTTAGCACAGGAATGTATTTATGGATAAACTGTGGTCTATTCTATAATGACAGACTGGAAAATTAAAGTGCGGTTTAAAAGTTTTCATGCAAGGCCGACGGACAAGTGGTCCAGCCATATCAGGTATTTACTTCTTTAAGGGAGGAGATAAGAAATTCGAGTCCTAACGAACGCATGAGTGTGCGAGTACTAAAAAACTAATAATAATAAAATAAAAAGTTTCGATGCAACCTAAAAATATGGTCCTTAATTTTTATTTAAATTTATTTGTTTAACCGAAAATTAAAGGATAAAATTTTAACTTAATGAATCTGAAAATAATCTGTCAATTGATTAAGGCTGTCAATGTTTGATGCCAATATGCCCTTAGAAAAAGTTTGGTGAAGTTCTCTCTTTTCAGTGAAAAGGTAAGGCTGAAAGTTTGGTAAGGTTGTTCACAAACATATACTAGTAATTAAGCTTATAATTATAGTCCTCCTTGCAAGAAAAGTATGATTTGAACTTGATTTGTTTATGAAACCTAGCCAGACAATTTTTTGTTCAACCAGCCCCTTATAATATAATATAACAAGCAATCAAATCATATAGTAAACATGTCATCTAATTCATCTACTAACGTCTCTTACCGGTGTGGATTCATTTCTTTGAAAAACTTTCTGGAAGGTGGGTGGGCCATGTGGCCAGTGGTGGCCCGTGCCTCAGGCGGCTTAGGCGGCCGATTAAAGTCCTCAATCAATAAGAAGGCTCTCAAAAATCAACAGGTCTATAACTTAACGGTACAAAACTCTTACTTTTTAAAGTGAGGTCAGGGGTTCTAACCTCACACTGCCTTATGTAAGTTATATTGTAATTGTTTCCTAACATTATTAAACACTAATTCTAAAGAATTTATCTTCTAAAGTAACTTTTTTTTCTCTCTCTCTCTCTCCTCATTATTATTCACGCTTTTTAATTAAACT